TATATAATTCATTCTAATATCGTATTGCGTCGATATCGTATCGGCCAATACTCAAGGCTGCAATATTGGTATCATTTTTTAATTTAATACGAGGAACATGAAAATGTAAGTTTAACATTTYTTCATTTAAATATATCTACTTGTTGGTCTGTTTGATAACACACAGTTCTGTTTCCCTCAAAACAAGTATTTTCAGAAAAATTGTCCAGCCTTTTTTTTTTTTGACTTTATCTGATTAAAAGATGACTTGAACTTTGTTCTGAGGATTTTGGAAACGTTTTATTTATTATTGACTTTTATCAGCAGGACCTGTCTGCCTCTCAGGTTTCCTGATAAAATCACCCGCATTCACAGTTTCTTTTTGTCCAAATGAGATCACTGCGGCTCTGAAATTGAGCGTGCGGAGATAAATCTTCACTTGTCAGACGCGATAGGCCAAAAAAGCAGCAATGGCTTCATCTCTTCGGCTCATAAGAAGCCGTTTGGTGACGGGYGGACGAGGGCATGCTGGTGGATCTGGAAAGAGACCAGACCGCGGTTCTGTTTAACTCCGACTGCGCACTGAGGTGAGAAATGTGCAGAAACAAAAAGGAAAAATGGAAGGAGAAACTAAACGATTTGGGGGGAAAAAAAGAGAGATTTAGCTAGAAAAAACATAGAAAACTTTCAGGATCAAATAGTTTCTTCTCAAACATGTGCAACTTGTTTAAATGGGCTCTGTGTGCAGAAATGTATAATTTACAGTAAGCAGGTTGTGAGTGGGTCCAGATGGACCTGCAGAGGTTCCAGTATCGGTGCAGTAAAGCTGGACTGATCTCCTCTGCCAGACGTATGAGCGGTTCCCTCAGGGTCCACTCACATCTGACGAATGTGGGAAATATGCTCCAGTTAGAACCTCGTCTTCCCCTCCCCCCACCCTCGTTCAAACTGACTTCACCTCTTAACCCTCATAAAAACTTCATTTCAAACCATTTATATTATTTCTGTTACTTTTTGACAGAAAGAGAAAGCAGCTGGAAAAAAGTTAAAAAAAAACATTGTTCTAAATTATTTCATATTCATGATGTAATTAAAATAAATACAAGCAAAGTTCATYAGCTTGTTTGCACAGTTACCCATGTGTTTCTTAGTGTTGGTGTTGTGTGTCTGTTAGCATAATATCTCATGAAACATCATTCAAGTTGCAGCTAATAAACCTTACCAAAACACAAAACTGGCTCTAACTACTAATTTACACTACATGTGGTTGTGTGCAGGAAATGAGATTGCGTGATGAATCCTGTGATAAAATAATTAATTCTGTGGAAGACGGACTCCAAGCACAGCTGAAACTGCATCGCTGTCATCTTTTTGAAACTTCTGATTTCAAAATAAAATCCATGTGTATTGTGTGTACACAYATATTGCACGCTACATGTTGCCATCTGCTTCCCAAACAGAACGATACATTTTGACAGCGTTTGTGTTTAAATACATCTATGTATTTATTAATTCAGCAGAGATTTTGACAAATTGTCTGCCTTTTGTGAATTATTTTGAAAACATGGATGTTGTGCTCATTTCTTTTCCTGTTGGTGCGATGTCATCTTTGTAGATTGACTCCGGCGTCCGGCAAAAATAAGACTGAATCTAATTTTGGCAAATCGTCATCCGCTCACCGCCACCATGCGCCGCCATGCGGAGCCAGTGTAAATACTCTCATTGATTGATTGGTTGTGTTTTTGTTGCGGAGGTCGGACCGCAACGGAGCCGAACCGCATCTAATGTAAATTAGGGAGAACTGTCATTTTAACAGTTTTTGAGATGAAATTTGTTGAAGTGGTAGCTGTGAGTATGCTTCAACAGTTACTCCGAGCRTTGACAGATAACACAAGAGTTTTCCTTAAAACCTTAGCATTTCAAGGCAGCAGCTGATCTACTCTTCTTCACATGAATGCTAGTTTTGTTTTGTTTTTTAATTTAGAGCAGAGGTGCCCAAACCTTTTCCCCAAGAGGGGCAAAATGAAAATCTTTTTGAGGACTGCAGGCCAAATGCAATAATATAATACATGAAATACAAATACTTCTTAAGGAAAGTCCTTTTATTTTTAATGATTAAGCTAGCAGTCAGTGCGGTGGCCCATGTTTGTGACTAACTGCACTACAGCCCCTTATATAGTCTTTGAGCCAATGAATGGAACAACTTTATGTGGAAATTCTGTGTTTCTACATAGCAGATTACAACCTAGTCACCATGGGCAAAATCTAATAGCTTGGTGGGCCAGTTTTGGCCCACAGGCYCCACTTTGGATACCTTTGATTTAGAGCTGGGATGGGCAATCCTGTCCTCAAGGACTGCAGCCCGACATATTTCACATTTTTCCCTGCTCCAACACATCTGCTGTATGGAGGACAAAAACTGACATAATTAGAAATAAAAGCAGAAACATATAAACTAACTAC